GGTTTATCCTTTAATGCATGCACCTTTTTGGTACATTTCAGATCCAAACTATAGCAGGGAGCTTACCTGAGTGAGTGAGCCTGCAAGGGTGAGTGAAGGCCACCGTCAGATGCCAACCTGTTCCTTCTGGCATGTGTTATTCCTTCTCTGCTTGCTGGGTTTGGGGACACTACATGAGGTTGGTTCTTTGGGGACTCCCACCTTTTCAGGACTGTGGGACAATCTTAGGGCTTTGTCCTGTCAGCTGCCTCTACATAAACCTCGCCCTCGCTCCCTGACCTCTCAGCCTTGTTTGAGCATTACCACTAGAAGCAGACAGGAGACTTCTCTTGAATGCCAGCCTGGTATTTCCATTAAACCAGCCAGAGTTAACATCACTAGAGCATTAGTGAAAAGGGGGAGCAAGGCCCATAAATGAGCAGATCTGACTTAGGAGAACAAAATCCTGGGGATCTCCAAAAGAAAGATTTCACTGAAATCATAACACACAAGGCCAGACAGCAGGACAGCCACTGCCTTGAAGAACCTTGGTTCCTCCCTCTTCCCTGTGACCTTGGGTAAGTGACTCCATCTCTGGGATCTGTTGTGCCACTAGGTTGGATTAGTTCCAATCAGTAATGCCCAGAACCCCCCAGAGAGCTTGTTAAGTATACACTCTCCCAAATATCAGATGGAGATCTGGAGGCCTGGGGATAAGCATTTACAAGAAGCTCCGAGGGCATTTCCTGGATCCAAAATCCATATATAGATGGTCTAGAAGCCAGTTCCTCCCACTGCTGACCTTCCTTCTGTGTGGGCCTGGAGGCACGGAAAGTAATCAGGAAATGCTGGCTGCTAGTCACCTCTGTCCAGAAATGTAGCCATTAACAGCTGCCAGATGGCAGGTGGCAGGGAGGGTTAGGGAGGGCTGTATTTGCTGTGTTGCTCAAACAGCACCTGTTGGACTGCAGTGGACACAGGAAACCTCACACGGCAGGCAAGAACCCTGTACTTTCCTTGGCTTCCTTCTCATCGCAGGCAAGTGTGGAGGCCCACAAAGGTTTCCTAGTGAGATCTGAGCTTGTTTAACCCAGCAGGGCTGTATTAGAAGATTGCTTGACCATGTGCATGCTTACTAGGTGATTGGAAGGGTCTACACTTGGCTGAGCTAGGGAAAGGTCTTTGCTCCACACCTTGGCATTCCTATAAAAACTCTTTAGAAGAGCCGGGAGGGGCCAGCGGATAAGGATTCAGGCCCTCCTGAGGCTGTCCTGTGTTTCTGTCTCTTCCCTCTATCCTTTTATCTAAATACTTCTCACTTCATCCTCCTCAAGAGGACCCTGTGAGGGGAAAGTGGGAGCTGGTCTCCCACAGGCAAGTAACTCTTTGGAAGTCACAAACTGCGAGGTTTTTGTTTTGTTTTGTTTTGTTTTGTTTTGTTTTGTGGGAGGTTCCATATTTTGAAATTTCAGGTTTCTCTCAGAAAAAAAACTAAAAGTTAAGTCATTGTGGTGGTTTCGCTGAGAATTGTCCTCCACAGGCTCCATCCAGTATATGAATACTCAGTCCCTTGCTGGTGGCCCTGACTGGGGAGGTGTGAGAGGTATAGTTTTGCTGGAGGAAGCATGTCACTGGAGGTGGGCTTTGAGAGCTTAACATATTGCTTCACTTCCGGTTTGCCCTCTCTGTTCTGTGCCGGTGGTTAGGATGTGAACTGACAGCTTCCTGTCATCCCTGCCCCTTAAGGCCAAGCCTCCCCATGATGGATGCTTACCCCTCTGGAACTATAAGCCAAAATAAACGCTTCCTACTACAAGTTGCCTTAGTCATGGTGTTGTATTAAAGCAACAGAAGAGTTAACTAATGCGGCCATATGGCAGTCATTGTTCTTAGATAAACAGCTCCCCCTGAGAACATGCACCTCCAGCCTCCACTGTAGCAGCTGCCCCATCTCATTGCCCACCAGGCCCCTGAGAAGCAGATATTGAAGTACTTCCACTCTAAAAATATGGCTGGAACAAACCAGAGGAACAGACAGCTGGGCACAGCGTGCCCCTGAGGACTGGGAGTTGCCTCTGGGCCTCAGGTTTTCACCTATGTAGAGACATTAAGAAATCAGTGGTGTATTTATAACAAAATTGTTGCAGAGGTCACTGACCATTGTGTACATGGTTTGTCCCTGTGGAGGGTCATTGGAAAAAAGAATTCCTTTAGTCACTGAAAAATATTGTTGAATAGTTGTCAGTAAGGATAAGTATCACGTATTGTGACCCATTGTATCTCCCTAATAGAAATGAAAAGAGAGACCCTCAAAAATACTTGCATAAGGGGACTGGGTTGTAGCTCAGCAATAAAGCACACACACAGCATGCATAAGGCTCTGGGTTTGATTCCCACACCACCAACACTAACAAACAAACAAATACGCACAACACTTACACAAGATATGATGCCAATTCCTACCAAGAGAAGTATAGAAATAATAAATTAATAAAAATATAGTGTGTTTAGAAAATGGAATGTTATTCAGCTATTAAAAAACAAATTATATGTACATGGAGGAACTGAATGTATTTGTGTGTGAATGTCTGTGTGTGTGCAGGTCATCATGAGAAAGGAGGAAAATATCTTAAGAATGGAAAGAAAGTGAATAATGCAATATATGTGGATGAAAGCAGAGGTCTGCAAGACTATCAGGAGGAAGGAGATAAATGATGAAAAAAGTAGAGTGTTATATGTATGTATCTGTAACATGTGGATGAAAGCAGAGGTCTGCAAGACTATCAGGAGGAAGGAGATAAATGATGAAGAAAAGTAGAGTGTTATATATAGGTATATGTATATATATATACACTATGATGAAACCCATTACTACACTAACCTTAATTTTTAAAGAAGTAATGAAAATTTAAAAAATAAAAACATGGAAGAGTTTGAAAGCACTAATGAGTCAAAGAAGCAAGATCCAAGTATGTAAAACCATATATGTGAACTTCAAAACCTTACAAACCCAGTGCATGGTAAAAGACACAAGATTGCCTCTGTGAGGAAGGGCTTCTGGACTGAAACCGGAGTAAAGAAACTGTCAGGGATGGTGCTGTAGTCTGTATGTCTATTTGGCTGATGGTTACAAGAATGTGTGTCAAAATTCATTAATTTGGTGGATAGGGAGATGGCTCTGTGGCTAAGAACACTGACTGCTCTTCCAGAGGACCCAGGTTCAATCCCCCAAACACATGGCACCTTACAACCCTGTGAAATTCTAGTCCTAGGGATCTGATGCCCTCTTCTGGCCTCTGTGGACACAATAAACATGTACAGGTATCGATGCTGGCAAACACTCAAAAATACAAGATAAAAATAAAATCTCAAATATTTTTTAAAAATCTCAATTTGTATATATGATGCATATAATAGTTTTTCCTGTAGGTTTTTTTTTTTTTGTCTTTTGTTATTTGAATTAGTCTTGCTATGTAGTGACTGGACTAGAACTCAATAAATCAGCATCCTGAGTGTTAGGATCGTATATGTGTACCAACCTGCATGGCATAGTGGAGAGGGGGAGATTCCTGGAATGACAGCCCCAGTGTGTGCTTGTTGGGACTAACAATATAATGTAAAAGAGGGATGAGGGATCCTTCCGTAGACACTGCATTCCCACACATCGGTGATGACCCTGGGTGTCCTGCTTAGTCTCTGAATGGTGCTGATACCAGTCAACACTTCACAGAGCGGCAACCAGGAGTAAGTGTTCAACAGCTAGTGGTCTCTGGCGCAGCAGCACACCATCCTCCAGAATCAACATGGCCTAAGCACAGGCGGCCATGTGCCATAAAAAACAGTCAGTGAAGAAAAACAACTGTTTGACCCTTCAAGTGATTTCAGGTCTTAATGGCTTGACTGACCCTTGCTTCTGTAACATGATCCAGGAAAAAAGGACTCTTCCTGTTCTAATCATCTA